AGAGAGAGAGAGAGAGAGAGAGAGAGAGAGAGAGAGAGACCCACAAGTTTGATATCTGAGCTTTTTTGTTTTCTCTTTAGATATCAGCATTCTCCTATTTATTAAAAAAGAATGAAAATAGATGCAGTATTCACTCCACAGCTCTGGAAACAGTCCCTCCCTTCTCCTTGATGTATATACGTGGATCTCCAATCAAGATGGCTACAGTTGCAGCTACCAGGCAACATGTCTACAGGTACTCTATCTTCAGTCTGGCTCAAGGATCTATTTCATCCCTGAAAGAGCAGCACAGGCTTTTGAATTCCCAGTTACTAAGAGTGCCTCAAGACTTAGCTGCACTTTGCTAAAGAGGAAATCTTTCTTTTAATAAAAGAAAGACCAGATCTTTAGAATGCAATCACCAAAGTTGATAAGAATAAAGTGATTCTTGGTGTATGTTTTTAGAACAATGAGACACCACAATTTTAGTACTTATATGTATATATATAGTTTTTCTTTTGCTACACTATTGGCTCTTGCAAGACTTTTTTTTTTCAAACTGTGAAGACCAAGAGCACAGTTCATTGGAATCTCATCATCTACTTAATTTTTTGCCTTTTCTTGTTTTGTTTTGTTTTTTACAAAAGCACTTTTTCTGAGTGTTTTCCATCTGGATTAATGTGAACAACCTTGATGATTGTTAGCTATACCCTCCTGTATATATATATCTCTAACTTTGTGTGTGTGTGTGTGTGTGTGTGTGCGTGTGTTGAAAATGCTTGTGGCAAAAGCAGAATTGTGTATATTAGTTACAGATCTGGATACATCACATAAAAGTATATGGAGAAAAAGACTGTTCTATTTTCCAGTGGTGGCCAAGAAAGTGTTTGGCATTGTCTCATTACTACTAAAAGGGTTGCTGTGACGTCCACTGATACTTGGAATCCTTCTTCGTTTTGACAGCCATTCACATTGGCCCTTTGTACTGGCTTCCAGACAAGTGATGTCTAATTCCAGGACACGAGCCTGCAGCATCTCCAAGTTTCCTCCACACAACCTGAAAAAGTAAATAGGAAAGGCATATTAAGTTACTCATTTTAAAAAACAGAGATTAGGTACAGAAGGGTTTATTAGACAGACAGTATTATCTAGTGTCATAAAAAATAAAAACAGGTAGCACTAACAGCTAACTTCTACTGTATGCTTTATCTGGGATACTACATATCCTTAGAAATTTCTATTTAATTCTATTCTCATTTCTATTAGTTACAATTGATGCAGGTTGCTACCATGTGACATAGCTTTGTGTGTGTCTTTCTTAGCCTGGTGCCCTTTAAATACACGGGCTTGCAAGTTCACAATTTAAAGTCATTTACATAAGTCTCTTGTAAGAGATAATATAACTCTTTGTAATCACTCTCAGTGTACAAGCTAACTCCTCTTTGGAAATGTATCCTTTAAGTAATGAAATAAGAGTTGTTAATATTTTTTTTCTGTTGCAGTGTTTATCCTTTGGAGCTGCACCCTCAGGAGATCTAAATGCCCCCATTTTATTGGCCTTTCATAAGAAACATGGACTGATTATTCACACAGGCATTTGGACCAGGGTATTATTTTGTTTTTCTGGGGCTTGACAGCAAGAGGAAAGAACTTACTTGGATTGTTAAATACTGAATAATACATTGTTAGTTGTTGCAATTTCAAAGTGGAAACTAACATGGGCATCCACGTTAAGTTGTTGAAATAAATAAAATAAAATAAGTAAATTACACATCCACTGATTTTTTTTTAATGTAGGTTTTAACCTCTAATGCTGATAAACAATGCAAATGATTCCAGAGGATTGCCATATGATCCGTAAAACAGCAGAATTTTGAAGTCAGATTTCTGCTTTCTTTTGATAAATTGGAAGTTACAATATTGTTCTTCCAAGTAGAAGATGATTGATTGTTCTTATTTTTCTATGAATAAAAAAATTGCCAAACAAAAAATATTTTTCTACCAGAAAAAGTTTTATTCATACCAACTTTTCAACTGAAATAAACATTAATCCCATAATATGTCTGTTTTACTAGTTTTTAAAATAATTGCTTTCCTATCTTTAAGAATATAAAATTATAATAACCTTATATTTCATTATTGCTAGCCATCTTGGTCATCATTTTGTAGCAGAAAGCAAATCTAAAGGTGTTAAATCAATAAATATGTATTCCTATTTTCCATTCATTTTAATTACTTTTATTCTAATTATTTAGAAAGACATCAACTGATAAGCTTTATTCTGTTTTGTACATACCAATAGTTGAATGGCTTATGAATATTATCATTTTGTACCATCCATGATGCACTTCATAACAAATTGTTTTCAGCTTAATGAGAAACAGAAAATATTTTTTCCAAAAGACAATGCTGGAAGATAATGCTGATATAGTAAGAAAGTGACCTCCAGCTGATGAGAAAGGACAGACTGCACAACCGAATATGCAGATTAAAGGGCAGTCTGTTGTATTGTAAACTTTATACTATCTGTGTGAACAGCAATGACTGTACAAAATCCTAAAGCCTTTTAGTACTCTGAAAACGATATTGTTATTTTAAGATGAATGCTATGCAGCAGGGTAGGCATATGATAGGGTTAACTACTGGTTCGGGATTTACGAGCTTCCCTGCACACTGTGAGCCGCGCACCTGTAAATCGTCATCAGCACACTGAGTGCAGAGAAGCAGCCTTTGAAACAGCCCTCTTTTCCTGCTTTTTTAACTGCAGCTGTGCCTCGTTCAGCAGCTGAAGTTGAAAAATCAGGAAATAAAGATCAGGTAAGAGGCCAGGTAGGTGGGTGGGTGGGCAAAAACATCAGCAGACATAGAACCAGTTGTATGTCTGCTGCTCTTCAGAGCTACTGGTTCTACAGAGATGGATAGAACCGGTAGAAACCCACCCCTGCTATGCAGTACCTAATTACTATTTAAATGCAATTTACATATAAAAGGTTGATTCTAAACAAGCGAACTTGTTTTTATGTGCCATTAAATTCAGTGTGAACTAATTCAAATTATTAACTTGACCTGCAGATTTTAATATAAACTAACTGCAACTATTTATCTTTGGAATCACCCCAGAGACGTTATCATGCCAGAGAAGTTCATTAGCCTATGATCACATTCATAGGATATGACCAACACACAACTTTTATGT